ACACACACACACACACACGCTCAACTGCCCGTACGTGTCCGCACGCAACTGAACACGACGGCCTGGTCCGAGTTATAGGCCTTTATGATTATTATATACTACATGTTTTATTGGCTCTGCCGGTTGGCCGCGGTGGCGCCCACAGGCCCACACTACCGTCCTCGTGAATGAACAATGTAAATAAGTCGGTATTGATTAATGATCACGCTCTTGTTGGTCTCCCGGTTCTCTCCCCAGCTGTTCGACCTCGCCCCTTCTTCTCCACCTTATCTCCTGTCTCTGACCCGGCTCTTTCCTTTTCACCCCTTTCTCTTTGACAATACAGTCAACTGCTTTGCCCACTCATCTTCCATAAACGCCATCATTTGAAAAAGAAATATATATTGGAAATTATTTACTGTATTCCACCCCCCCCCCACCCCCACTCCGTCTCCCCCAGGATTTTCTCTTTTAAGCTGATTCGCTAACGCCCCTCTTCTCTCTTTCTTTTTCAGCACAAATAGAGATCATCCCGTGCAAGGTGTGCGGCGACAAGTCATCGGGCGTCCACTATGGCGTGATCACCTGCGAGGGCTGCAAGGGCTTCTTCCGCCGCTCGCAATCCTCGGTGGTCAACTACCAATGTCCGCGCGCCAAGGCCTGCACGGTGGACAGGGTGAACCGGAACAGATGCCAGTACTGCCGACTGCAAAAGTGCCTGCGGCTGGGCATGAGCAGAGATGGTGAGTTCACTTACGCCTATTCGACTTCATTGTATGATAAGTCTTGAGAAAAGGTGGGTTGCCCCCAAATGTTTTCATACGACACGACTTTTCAACTGATTTGTAAATGGAAATGCTTTGCGAGAGGCCTGGCTAGAGTTTATCACCCCCGCATTTCTTCCTGGTAGGTTACTTTACCATATCGTCGTCCAAGAACTCGCTAAGAGGATCGTGAAGCAGAGTACCCCCTCCCCTTATGCACGACCCCTAGGGCGTACAGGGAAACGTTTCTGGGGGAAATTCCCCGCACTCTTTTCGCAAGCAGCAAATCAGCCGAACCGAACGTTTGTGGTTTGCGGCGCTGGTGCGTCCCTTTTAGGAAAAGCTCTCGGGGCATCAACCCCGCTGGAGCCTGCCGGGCGGGGCGGGGGCGGCATGGCGGCCCGTATGGCAGGTCGTTTATGACTCCAGTCCAATGGGGCTCGAGCCGGCCACACTCACAGAACACTTATTACTGGAGTATTATTCATGGATAGCTTAAAATTATTGTTATGACGCGTCTGCACACAACCGCACGTACATATACCTCGGTTGTAATCTAAACGAATAAACCGTAAAGGTGCCCCATGGGTATACCTTTTGGTCGGGATTTTTTTATTTTTTATTATCATCGCATTAAATTGGCGACGTGTATAATTTGTTTTGGCAGGGTAAGGGCAAGCGAGGGAGGGACTGGGGGATTTGGGGGAGGGGAGTGGGGAGGGGGGTACGTATTCCTCTTTTGTGCGCTCGTCAGCCTCTGGCAGAGCAGGCGCGGCTGGGGCGGCCAGGACTAGCGGCCCTCGTGTCAGAGGTGCGCAGAGCAGCCGAGCGGCAGCCAATCACAGCGCTTTGGTATCGCCTGGGAGCCGGCCCGTCCAGAAACCACCCCGTCTGAGGCTAGCCTGCAGGCGAGCCGACGCGCGCTACAGCGGAGGGAGTAGTCTCGTTCGGGGTGTCCCTGGCCCAGGCGATACCAGCCCGGAGCTCTGCGCACCTCTCACACGAGGGCCGCTAGCCAGCCAGGACCTGGCGAATGTGATGAGGTTCTTGCTGCTGCGCATGCGCTTCCTGGTTCCTAATATAAGCGAACGAGTCGTAAACTTGTGAACCCACACTGTAAAGTAACGATATTTATTGTACATCGACATTACAGTATTACTCAGGCAAGAAATAACTGTCGAATTTTTGTAAAGTAAGTCTCATTTCTTTTTTGAAAAAACATGTATAAAAAATATCACAGCTGAGAAACGATATTTTTGCAGTGCCTATTTATTGGTAAATTTACTGCCGAATCATATTTTTTGTATTATTGCGGCGTTCGTTTAAAATTTCCTCACCGCACCCATATTTTGTTTTTCCTGTCTGTACGGAAAAGATTTTTATCTGCTTTGCAAGCAATTTGCAAATGTGACGGAATGAGCAACCGGCACAACCAGCAGCACAACCAGTAAGCGGCAGCGAGCACTGTCGTGTCATTTTCCTCTCCCGCATTGTCTGTCATGCGGCTTTGACGAACTTTCTTCCCTTCGGCCATTACCATACACCGGTGTGTATTGTGAGCGATTTTATGTTTTTACAACGCGCCGCGCGGTCAGTAGCCTGCCGTCCGTCCGTCTGCCTGCCTGATTGGCGTGGGAGGTAGTGGGGGGGGGGGGGGACGCGCTTGGGTTCCTGGCTGCTGTGACAAGAAACGCAAAACCTCTCCTCTGGACAGCCCCGCCCCCGGCTCGTGTGTGTTCCGTTCCGCTCTGTGCGTAAGTTTGCTTTATAGTTGACCGAAACACCGACCGGATCGCATCACAGTGATGCTGATGAAGTTGTGACAACCCGGCGCAGAGGCGGGCCCAGCGGGCGGGGGAGGAGGGGATGCGGCGAGTGTGTGAACTGCAAAAAAAATAAAATACGTCAATGTTACAGAACACACTAAACCCTTATGCATTTTTGTTGTGCATAAACATGCAAGATTTTACGCAGCCATAAGTACTGTATGCACAATTTTTTACGCATTATGCACGTGTCATAGTTATGAATGAAATTGTGAATCAAATTATGGCTGCGTAAAATCTTTCATGAGGTTTTAGTGTGAAATTCGTACTGATTTTTTCGGAGTGAACATGCCATTTTTGCTTACATTAAAACAAAGAAACTATATTGAAAATTTAAAATGGACTTGTGGCTTTGTAATTCACCTGCTTTATTTGAGGGCCTTTTCCTAGTGCGTCGTTCCCCTCTCAAACAATAAAGTTGATTGCAGTTTGTCATTGCACATGAAAAGTGTGATGAATGTGTGACGTGTTCGTGTTATCATTGGGACGAAATTAGTCGTTATGACCCGCCAACTTAAATTTTAAACGAGCGCGGCTGCTTTGGGGGCTTGCACCGGAAACCCAAGTGTGTGAATGTCGGCACACTTGTAGCTGTGTGAACGCCATTCGTACTCATGGACGCCCGAGTGTGTGAATTTCAAAACAATTCAAATTTCGAAAATTTACACCTAGACTCCATTTAGTGTGTGAGCGGATTCACACACTTGCCAGTGTGCGTCATAACACACTTGTGTTTCCAGGGTGGGCTATGGCACCCCCCCGTAAGAGCGGTGCTGGCTCATTAGAAATGAAGTGAAGGGCGACGCCTCGAGTGTCGTGTGGCTTATTAGGCGTACTTTACGGGGGCGGGGGCGCGGCGCCTCTCGTGCGGTCGGAATACGCAGCAGAGCAGCAGGGAGCAAAGGTCGCTAAACCCGGCGCAAGGCATCCGCCCCCGCGCCGCCCCCGCGCCGCCCCCTGCACCCGGAACACGGCCGCCCAGCCCATCCCTCTATTGATTCTGTTCCTACCCTTTCCCCCGCCACACACCTTTTCCCCCCCTTTCTCGCGCGGTCGTATAGGGGGGCCCCGTGGTCGAGGGGGAGAGGGGGGAGGGGGAGGCAAGGGGTACGAGAGGTTTGCTTCCTCTTCCGGGTTCGGACCGGCCGGGTGTAAGGCCCTTGTGTGTGTACGTAGGGGACGGTTCTGCGTAGTAGAAACTTTATTGCCGCGATGGCAATTTGTTTTTCGCCCTGCCCCTCTATGCTTTGAGATAGCTAATATCGAGTGGACTCTGATCTGCGAGCGACCTGGCGTCTGTCAGTCCACTAAAAATGGAGTTGAGCCAGAGTCTTAAAATATTCACGGTGTACTATGAAACTTTATTTCCAGTTGATTTAGTTTCCTATTAAAACTATCAATAATTTCATCAATTCACCCCCCCCCCCCACGTACAATGTTTTCATTTTTCGGAAAAAATGCTATGTTATTTTCATTTGTTTGTCGTTTTATGCCGCCGTGCAGAAGGGCGGCAGGGCTGCCTGCTCCTGCAAGAAGCAGGGGAGTTCCCACGCAGGATGTTGTGTAGGAGATGAGAAGGACCTGGTCCAGCCGCATGGTCCAGACTCTTGCACCGTTATTTCGGGAAGTTGAGCCCGCTCCGCTCAGCTCCGCTCGTCCCTGCCCGCCCGCCGGGCCACCTGATTGCCCTCCCCGTACCCCTTCCCCCCTTTTTCCTCCGCTCCGAGAGGAGAAAGAAGAAGAGGGGGAGTCTGAAGTGAGCACCCACGTCGTGAAGAAAGCTGTCGAAAGTATGTGCGATTTCGGGAGCCCTTTCCTCCGTTGTGTTAGAGCGGGAGCTGTCTCCTCTATCATATAAGCCCTCGACCTTCTTACTCACTGTTAAAAAATCCCTATTAATTTTTAGAACACGAGTTTTAAAAGCCATTTTCGAAATCAAAAATATGTTCCAAAATTTATGAACCAGGCTAAACATTTTCGAGGCTCTTTTTGGCTGTTTCCTCTATGTCCACTGTAAAAATATTTGTAGGTTTTTAGTTAAACTTTTCAATGAAAAATTTTGTTAAGTACGATTTAAAATTGAAAATTTACAAAATTCTTCTGACACAGCCTAGTTTTAATTGGAATTCTTCGATCAAAACTGGTCTATCGTAAATTAGGAAAATTATTGAACATTAATGGATTTTCACAGTGCTCAGCCTCTCCGTTAGGGGAAAAAATGGAGCTCTGGTATTTGTAACCACATGATGTTTGACTGGAATGGCCAAAGTTTAGCCGTGCGAAATTGTAACATGAGAAAAACACAAGAAAACACTATTTGAAGGTGAAGAAAGTGATAAACAGTTTCCTATCGCGGAGGCAACGGCTTGTCCTCAAGAGTGATTGAAAAAGGGAGACAGACAGACAGCGAGGGGGGGGGGGGCGAAAGAAAGGTGAGAAAGAGGAAGAAAGGTGGAAGTAAGAGAGGGACGTAGAACGCAGCGCTCAGCAGGCGCAACGGGAGAGGGAGAGAGAGAGAGAGGGGCGAGAAAGGAGGAGGGGAGAGGAGACACGACGACGCGACGCATCGGACAAAGGTAAAGCAAAGAGAGCGGTGAAAGGGGGGGAGGGAAGGTGGGGCCGGAGAGAGAGGGGGCCGTGGAGGGGGAGCGCACCGTTAGGCACATAGCGGTGCTCTGGTCAGCCGTTGCCTGGTCTCGGCTGGTCTCGGCACACTCGGGTACACGGCCGAAAAAGGACGACTAAACCCTGCCGGGCCGGGTGCCGCGCTCCGCCACGCCGCCGCACCGGAGTCTGTCTGGCTGCAGACCCCCCCCC